GAAGCAACAGGAGAGAGGTTACTTATTCGAAATCATTCATTCTTTGGCTTTCTAATGAAGCTGACACACACACATAAACTGAATAGCATACGTGATCAAAACGTCTATTTACCTTCACCTTAATTGAGTTAGTACAGCCAGTGAGGCATCACACTAACTGTTCATCGCTACTGAGTACTATTTATTGGTACGGGGATTATTAATACACAATCGTGAGGTTCTACGAGGGGAAGATGCATGTTTAGTTTCTTTTCTGTTCCCTATTTGTAAATTCTACTCTTACCAAAACTTTTTCCCCAAAGTCCCTGTTAGTACAAAACTTAATGGTAGACTCATCCCCTGGTTCCCCACAATAACCTAAAAAACCATTCCCTTAAAAAAGTAAATGATGACGTTAACTTGTTTCCCAAAAGCCCTCTCGGAAGCAGCTAAAACAAAAACGAAACATTTGCAAGTTTGTCAACGTTTTTATTAACCAGCTCAAATATGTACACATATATTGAAACCATTCAATATCAAATTGCTTGAAAATAAAATTATTACAAAAGAGTGAAACTTGAACTTCTAAAACTTCAAATCAAGAGATAGAGGGCCAGGCAAGGGAGAAACACCGTGAATATTATGTCAAAAATAACGCCAAACACTNGTGCCACGCCAGACTAGGACACAACGCCCCCCGTAGCGTTTAAATTATCCTACAATTTCTTGAAGCAACAAGAGAGAGGTTACTTATTCGAAATCATTAATTCTTTGGCTTTCTAATGAAGCTGAGACACACACATAAATAGCATACGTGATCAAAACATCTGTTTACCTTCACCTTAATTGAGTTAGTACAGCCAGTGAGGCATCACACTAACTGTTCATCGCTACTGAGTACTATTTATTGGTACGGGGATTATTAATACACAATCGTGAGGTTCTACGAGGGGAAGATACATGTTTAGTTTCTTTCCTGTTCCCTATTTGTAAATTCTACTCTTACCAAAACTTTCCCCCAAAGTCCCTGGTAGTACAAAACTTAATGGTAGACTCATCCCCTGGTTCCCTACAATAACCTAAAAACCCATTTCCTTAAAAAATAAATGATGACATTAACTTGTTTCCCAAAAGCCCCCTCGGAAACAACTAAAACAAAAACGAAACATTTGCAAGTTTGTCAACGTTTTCATTTACCAGCTCAAATATGTACACATATATTGAAACCATTCAATATCAAATTGCTTGAAAATAAAATTTTTACAAAAGAGTGCAACTTGAACTTCTAAAACTGCAAATCAAGAGATAGAGGGCCAGGCAAGGGAGAAACATGTCAATATTATGACAAAAATAACGCCAAACACTCTGGACATGCAGGTATATCATCGTAAATACATTGCTTGTATTTCTGGTGTAACAGTTCTCAATTAGGTTCCAATTCTCAAATCACGACATTT